GGATAGGTTAGGATAGGTTAGGTTAGGATAGGTTAGGTTAGGTCAGCCTAACTTAATATATCATATTTATTCATTACTAACGTATTGCCAGGAAGCTTTCTGAAGTTTGTGTAGTTTGTGGTAGCTTGTGGTAATTAGACGGACCCGTGGTGCAAGGCTTCTTCTCCAAGACAGGCCTTTTGCTTGGGCAATTTCTTGATTAGTTTAAATAAGCATAATATCAACATAATATAAAGAATTTAACAAATTTGATTTGTTGTCAATGGTAATACATCATGCTGCTTTACGGCCAACTGTGTTAGTTATATTGAACACATTTTGATATGGAGGCTGATGTTAAGAGAATCCCTCGTGCAGTGACGACTTGTCGTTCTGGCCGTCGTATCTATTGCCAGACACGCCCTCAGACCAGTCCTGCAGCAAGCAGTACTGCACACAGCTTTAGGTTGGCAGAAGAGCCGACTCCAGTAAAGCAATAGTGGGTCGTGACCGCAGCTTGCAAGTGCAGTTCAAAACGACTAAATTTCTACACAAGAGTAAATAAAAGGACACTTCCAAATATATTCCCGTTACTTACAAGCGCCCGCACGTACGTACAGATCACTACCAACAGCAACAGGGAGCCGGTCGGCCGAGCGAACAGCACGCTGGACTTGTGATCCTGTGGTCCTGGGTTCGATCCCAGGCGCCGGCGAGAAACAATGGGCAGAGTTTCTTTCACCCTATGCCCCTGTTACCTAGCAGTAAAATAGGTACCTGGGTGTTAGTCAGCTGTCACGGGCTGCTTCCTGGGGGGTGGAGGCCTGGTCGAGGACCGGGCCTCGGGGACACTAAAAGCCCCGAAATCATCTCAAGATAACGGCTGTTCAACGCCCTCCTAGCAAGCATTAGAAATATTATTGGAACAAAGATGGATGTCTTCAAGAATCACTTAGGCAAGCTCTTTCAATAAGTGCCGGACCAACCAGGCTGTAGTGGATATGTGTGCCTGCGGGCCGCGCCAAGCAACGGCCAGTTGGACCAAGTTATCACAAGTCGAGCCTGGCCCAGGGCAGGGCTCGGGGAGTAGAACTACTCCCGAAGTCCCTCTCCAGGTATGTTCCAGGTACTCGATGTTTGGCATTACAAGTGACGGTGAAAATTTAAGACCCGGACAATTGTTATGAACCGGGCCCACACTAAAAGTATTACGTGGGATGTGTTCACCTAGTTGTGCTTGCGGGGGTTGAGCTCTGCTCTTGCGGCCCGCCTCTCAACTGTCAATCCACCGTTTCTACTACTACTACTATTATTTTTTTCTTCTTTTTTTTCTTGTTCGTGTCCTCGTGAAGTAATGTCTTCGACACTGCTAAACAAAATATATGCACATTCACTCCGCTTATGGGCCAGACTCCCGAAATTTAGTGTAAATAAAAAAGTTCAAAATTCAGTTTTCACTGTCACTCATATAATATGAACTAGCCGTACAGTGGATACCATGACCTACACCCCAACCAGTCCCACTTGACAGTGGAATTAATAAATTAATGGTGAAAAAAAACTGTAGAATGGTCATCTTCTTGAGGTTATCTTGAGATGATTTCGGGGCTTTAGTGTCCCCGCGGCCCGGTCCTCGACCAGGCCTCCACCCGCAGGAAGCAGCCCGTGACAGCTGACTAACACCCAGGTACCTATTTTACTGCTGGTCGCACAGATTTCATACACATCTTTACAGGGTGGCAAGAAGCCACATTACCAACCTTATAGAAAATAACCAACTGTATAATGCAGATTAATGAATGACCAGTGAATAGTGCAAGCACCTCTTGTTTTCCAACTACTTGATCATACGATATCAGAAGCGTTGCAAGTTAATCAAATGCACACGATGTATAGACCGGTTTTGACGAATTATTTGATAAGGCAATGGCAGGTAAAGTAGGGAAATGGCTCTTAATACACACTGATTTTTGCACATTCTTTTTTAAGTGTAAAGGTGGTACTGTACCCGCACGGCACCCGCACGGCACCCACACGGCACCCACACGGCACCCACACGGCACCCACACGGCACCCACACGGCACCCACACGGCACCCACACGGCACCCGCACGGCACCCACACGGCGCCGACTCCTTTATCCTGGTCTTCACGTTACGAATAGCCAGAAACACAGCTCGGTTTCCTTTCAATTTTCGCTGATGACACGAAAAACATGAAAGTTTCCTCAGTGGAAGACAAAACAAAAAATCCAATCTGATATCATAGTTGTCGGGAACCGTCTCAAAGCACTCACTGGGACGAGGAATACACACATACATACACATACATACATACATACACACACACACACTCTCTCACTCTCACTCTCTCTCACACTCTCACTCACACTCTCTCACACACTCACTCACACTCTCACACTCACTGAACTTGTCAAGCTGAGTGTGAAGAAGCTGTGGTAGTGGCGGCGCCGGTGTAGGTGTCGCCTTAGATGGGAATAATGTAAGTGGGTAACGGTTTGGCCTGCTGCTGCTGCTGCTCGTGGGCTCCTGGGCTCCTGTGAGCGCGTGCCTGCATGTGTTGGTCTCTCATGCTCACACATCACCTCCACCTTTGTCTGGTATTTAATGCCTCCCAACCCTTTAACCTTACACCTTTGGAATCAATGTATGGAGTAAAACCCGATTGTATGGCATTTTGGCTCATTTCACTTGCTCGTAACTTGATAAAGCAGTGCTTCTTTGTGGGCCTATAGCCCTATATGGTTCATATACGCTATTAGTCTTGTCCTGCGTCCTGCCCTTGTCCATGCTAAATATTTCCATTCTGTCCACTTTGACACTGCCTCTGAAGAATCTTGTATGTCGTGATCATGCTTGCACAATCCTCTTGCCTAATTTTCAAAGTATAATGTGTGTTTATCTCTCTGCCACCCGCTCCACTATGCCCTGCCCACTCCCCTCACAGTATACCCCTTGCCACCTCACTACACCCCTTCTCCCTCACTACACCCGGCCCCTACACCCTGAGGGGTGTGGTGAGGGTGAGTACAAACGGTACTTGAGATTGGTGTTGAGGTACTGGCCTCACCCACCCTCCCAGGACGTCCTGACAGTCTTCTCTCCCACGCTGGCAGCGCCCAGGTGTACTACCACCACCACCACTACCACCACCACACCTCACCACCATCAACACACCTCACCACCACCACCACCAACACACCTCACCACCACTACCACCACCACACCTCACCACCATCAACACACCTCACCACCACCACCACCAACACACCTCACCACCATTAATATTACTTTCACCAATACTCACAATTACCGCCCCAACACTATGGCACCTTCGGCGTCAACAGTACCCAGACACATTGACATCACCGCAATCGCAATATTTCTCTTGACGGCAACGTTCACTGGTACAGGTGAATGAGAGGGAGGAAGGGAGAGAGAGGGGGAGAGAGGGAGAGGGTGAGGGTGAAGGAGAGAGAGAGAGAGGGGGAGAGGGTGAGGCAGAAGACTCAAGAATCACCGACCAAGCATACGAAGCAACACACAAGAAATCATTCCCCACAAGCTGCCAGTAAAACACAATAATCCACATTATTAGGTACAATTTATCCCAAGCGATCACGATATGAAACCATTTCTAAAGTTTAATGGTGTCGGTGTAGGAACACTGAAGGAAAACGCGGGCCCGGCAACAGTTGGTAGCCCTGAGTACCCCCCCCCCCCCAAGGTCGCGCGGATCACCAAGCTTTATTATCCAGCCTCTTTATTGACCACATTGGTCTTATTATAGACAAAACTATCGTAGCCTATTGGGCTCTCTCTCCCTACGGCGGTGGTATGCCACGTGCTCCAACCCGCGCCTGCAAACATGTGCGCCACACACAGATGTTTGGTGGTAGGGGGGGACTGTCTCCTTCTCTCCCCCCCTCCCTCACACCTCACCTTCCTTGCCTCCTCCTTCTCCGCCTCCTCAGAGGTGAAAATTGAGTGACCTGTTGATGGCAGTAGTGGCCAGGTCTGCCATACAAACAAACACGGTCTGTGGCTTTGTTTGTTTGTTTGTTTGTGCACTGCTTCGTAAAGCATCTCACACACACATTTTCCTAATTTTGTTTAGTGTACTTAATTATTGGTGTGACATGATCTTCGAGGGTATGGTCAGTGAAGATGGAGATGTTTCGGCTTAGCGAGTCTGTTGTACGGTGCGCTTACAGCGTTACTCACTTGCGTTGGCAGCACCCCGGTGTTGGTAGCACCCCGGCGTTGGTAGCACCCCGGCGTTGGTAGCACCCCGGCGTTGGCAGCACCCCGGCGTTGGCAGCACCCCGGCGTTGGCAGCACCCCGGCGTTGGCAGCACCCCGCCGTTGGTAGCACCCCGGCGTTGGCAGCACCCCGGCGTTGGCAGCACCCCGGCGTTGGCAGCACCCGGCGTTGGTTATTGGGTCCCGTCTTGTTTTCAATTGTCAGTCGTCGAACTCAATGGATCTCATTTATATTATAATTCCCATTTCTTTCTCCATTTGTTGGTCGTCCAGGTAAGCTTGAGGCTCCGAGATGCCTTTGGTGCCAGTGACAATATTGAAGTGACATAACGAGACATCACGTCACGTGATATATCATGGCAACAACGTGTATATAACATATTAAATCATGGGGGGGTGCCTGGTGATGCATTTCCTTCCCCTTCCCCTGGTGATCTGATTACTTCTCGAAGGCGTGCGTTGTGACGTGTTGCGTTACCATGACGTCGTAGTAGTAGTAAGTAGTAGTAGTAGTAAGTGACCTGGTAGCGTGTCGTGGGGTGGGGGGGGGGAGGGGGCTGGTAGTGTGTGTCAAGGTGATCCAAACATGTGCAATCTGTCGAGTTCCTCAACCACTCTATCTCTTCATCCTCTCTCTCTCTCTCGCGCGCGCGCGCGCACAAACACTCACATACACATTAGCTGTATTATTTGGTGCTACTGTTTATACTCTACTTATTTTCTATTTTCTATACTCAGTTGGGTTGTCGTCAGGGAGTAGCGACGTGAGCGGGGCTCGCCTCTCCGTCCTTTCCACAAGGAAGCGGTGGCGCAAGAGTGCCCTGGTGGCCTCCTCGCCGCCGCCGCCAGCACCGCCGCCGCCGCCGCCAGCACCGCGTCTGTACACCAGTGCGTAACGGGATTGCTTTAACCCCCCTCCCCCCCTCCACTCCTGCTTCACACACCCGTCGCTGGCAGGTGTAGCACCAGATTCAATTGTATTATTTTTTTGTAGTGGTGGTGATGGTGATGGTGAGAGTGATGGTGAGAGTGATGGTGAGAGTGGTGGTGTGCCAGTGGTGGGGTCACTGAGCCCGACGACCAGTAGCACGGGCTGCAGTGATAGCAACTTGCATGAGACACAGGTGGCAGGAACAACAGTGGTGGCATCTCCAGTCGCGGGCGGGCCGCTCCAAGCAACAGCCTGGTGGACCAAACTCTCACAAGTCGAGCCTGGTCTCGGGCCGGGCTTGGGGAGTAGAACTACTCCCAGAACCCCATCAACCAGGTATCAACCAGGCTCAATGTTGTCAAAGTTGCAAAGAAAGCATAAGCCAGCGTGAAGCAGTGACATCAACTACAACAATATCAAGTGATCATTGTGAGGATACAAGGACGGTGGTCTCACAGAAAGTGACACCGAGGTGTGTGAAGAACTCTAAAAGGAGGCGCTTGAGCGGTTTACATAACAAGACCAGCTTACAGACCATGGTTGGGGGGGGGGTGCTGGAGATGATACTGCCCGAATCTACTCTATAAAATATCTAAATTATTGGGACTGCTTAAAAAATGTTCAAGTGTGTATTCTCCAGAGCGCAGACGCGAGATACATAATAATTTAAACTTGGGGAATATTAGAGGAACTGGTCCCAAACCTGCACACGGAAATAACTCGACATGAGACCGAGGCATGACAGGAAGTGCAAAATAGACCGATTGAAAAGCAACTGTGCAATAAGTACGCCGAGAGACAATTTTATCTTTTTCAATTTTAACATGAACACAACTGACCGACCCCTGGTCGTGTTCAGAGAACTTCATAAACACCTCCAAAGGATCAATCAGGAGCACGTCACGTCTGTGATTCATACGTCAGGCTGCGAGTAGCTGCCTTTAGCAATCTGGTTGACCAGAGCACCAACCAGGAGGCCAGGTCAGAGGCCAGTGCCAGGTGACCACAAGGTTTCCTGGCACTTGAGGCAATATAAAACAAGAGAACTGCCGGGATACCTTAACAAACTTGAGGGGCTGGCAGGCAAACGGGATGTAGTTGGACCTCGTTTCTAATGAGTGTAAGGTTACGAAGAAGGGAAAGGACGACTGGAGGCCTCAAGAAAGCTAAATAAAGGAAAGATATCTACAAATATAATAAAGATACCTGTGTAGATGTAATTCCTGTGTTAAGAGCAGAGTTACACACAAGCTGCATATGACAAACATTAGAATGGCAGTTAGAAATGTAAAGGCGTGAAGGCAATAGGACTCCATAGAGCCTAAGAGGTTAGTGGAGGAGTATGCAGCACCGGCATGAAATACAAAACTACACATGAAATGACCAGAGGCTTATAACTACGAGTGTCTTAATTAACCGTACTGAGCTACGAAGGCACGTTAAGGGAGCTCAGTCTCTCAACTCTAGTTGAGAGAAGGAACAGAGGAGACATGATCACGACACACAATATACTGAGGGAAAAATAGATAAGGTGGACAAAGAACAGTCCCTCTGGAGTGAGAGAGAATAGGACAAGTGGACACAGATGAAAGCTGGAGAGGTAAATAGGTCGAAGAACTAACTGTATGGGAGGTCATCAAGTGGAATGCCCTGAAAGAAGTCTGGGAAGCCACCTCCACCCACAACTCGACTGACATTCGAGTTCTTTGTCGTATGTGACCTTAAAATTAAAAAAGAAAGCACCAGGGAAGCGCTGTTAGATAAGCAGGTAGACCAAAGCTGACTGGAGCAGGTGTGTGAGGTGTAAAGGGTGGAGAGGAGATGAGGAACAAGTGATTATTAAGGCAAGGGGGGCGAGTTTAGGGCAAGCAGTGAGTGAACGAGGAAGAGAGAAGGTAAAGGCAAGCACTTGCAGGCCCGGAAAGAGGCGTGGTCGAGACACTTGCAATAATGACACGAGTTTCCTTGGAAGGCCGCGCCGCAGTGTTTACCTGGTGAGCGCCCTGACGTAATCCCACCGCTGTCACCACTGGCGCCACCACCACCACCACTGGCGCCACCACCACCACCACTGGCGCCACCACCACCAGCACCACCACCACCTGCTCGGTCATTATCACCACCACTACCACTTCCATAGTCACCACCACCCGGAAACTGGTCACACCGTTCCATGCACCAGCCAGCTGCTGCACTTGTGCCACAGGCGCGCTCTGGGCCGAACTGCACCAGCTTCAACTTTCAGATATTCTGAGTGCCTCCTTCATCAGTTCTCAATCCGTTTTCTGTTTGCCATCTTTAACCCAATTTGTCTCGTTTTCTGTTTGCATTGTTAACCTTTTTTTTTAATCGCGTTTTCAGTTTGCTATTTTTATTCCATTTTATGTGCCAATTAATACGCATGTTTTATCTAATGAAAGTTATACTTTGATCTTTTAACCGGATAATTATTGCTGATTATTTACAATGTAAATGTTATTGCTCTAATTTTATGATTATTTTTATGCGTTTACACGTATAAACTTTCTGTACTCACCTAGTTGTGCTTGCGGGGGTTGAGCTCTGGCTCTTTGGTCCTGCCTCTCAACTGTCAATCAACTGGTTGAGACGCGGGTAGCTGGCATGGGCACCTCCTGGCCCATGTCAGGCAATGCACAGTTTTACCGAACACACTCCCCACAATTCTCACGGGAGACATCTCCCGTCACGCAGAGTGCAGTCGCACCTCCACAGATCTCCCGTATCATCTATTGATATTGGTAATGGCTCAAATGGGCCACCACTTACGGGCTATTCATGCCCGTGCCACCTTTTGGGTGGCTTAAGCTTCATCAATCATCAATCCACAATTCTTCACTTTGTGCTGGAAACTTTCCTGTGCATTAACTTTCGCGGTGCTACGAGTAATTTACTCCTCAGATGCGTTAGTCTATGTCCGCACCACTGTTAAGGTTCACTGGTTCATTTAAACATTTTAGGAATGTGGATCCTTGCTTTGTTGTTGTTGTTTCAGATTTAGCTACTCAGAACGAAGTGTCCATGTAGCACGGGCTATGGTGAGCCCGTAAGGATCCTTGCGCTGCGTCTTTCCAGAGAGCAAATTTTTCTTAGACGTTCATCAGTAGAAAGCTTACTATGTCACGGAATTAATTAGTAATCATTCTTTAGAGAAAGTTATCATCCATTCATCAGTGAGGGCGTGCAAGGACAAGGTAAATTTCAAGGATTACATTAGAATAACTAACACTTTAAAATACTAATCCTATTATCCGTCTTGGCTAGCTATCTCTGCTTCTCTTACTAAGTACTTCCCTTGCTTCTTACTTCCCTTTCTCTACCTTTAGCTACGTGCTTGATACCTGCTTGATGGGGTTCTGGCAGTTGTTCTACTCCCCAAGTCCGGCCCGAGGCCAGGCTTGACTTGTGAGAGTTTGGTCCACCAGGCTGTTGCTTGGAGCGGCCCGCAGGCCCACATACCCACCACAGCCCGGCTGATCCTGAACTTCTCTTAGAAAGTTTTCTCTTGAAGATGTCCACGGTTGTTCCGGCAATATTTCTTATAGTCGTTGGGAGGAGGTTGAAGAACCGCGGACCTCTGATGTTTATACAGTGCTCTCTGATTGTGCCTATGGCACCTCTGCTCTTCACTGGTCCAATCATGCATTTTCTTCCATATCGTTCACTCCAGTACGTTGTTATTTTACTGTGTAGATTTAGGACCTGGCCCTCCAGTATTTTCCATGTGTATATTAGGCATTTTTGTAATCTTTCCAGTAACGACTCCACGTTAACCACATGCCATAGTTCACACTTAAGTATGAAAGACTCGATAAAAATAACCCTGGGGGTGGCAGGTAATTAATTAATTCTAAATCATTTTAGTTAGGCCTACAGTGACCAGCCATTGTCCGTCCCTTACCCCAGACCATTCCCCCTGAACATTTGGGTGAGGCTAGCCCCTAGCGTCTAGCCTCTACGTCTGGATAGACATTCTTACAGGTATGGATAGATATATGAAACCATTGAGAAGACCCCTGTAATCTTCACATTAAGCATAATAAAATGGGGCGCATAATAAATTAACTAAAGAAAATTAAGCTTACCTTGAGGTTACCTTGAGGTGCTTCCGGGGCTTAGTGTCCCCGCGGCCCGGTCGTCGACCAGGCCTCCTGGTTGCTGGACTGATCAACCAGGCTGTTAGACGCGGCTGCTCGCAGCCTGAGACGTATGAGTCACAGCCTGGTTGATCAGGTTGAGCTTGCATATGGAAATTTACTTGCAATATAAATGCACTTAATTTGCAAGTTCTAGTATAAGGGGGTTTATGATGGGCAGTTTGTTTTAACATAGAGATTAAAAAAATCTGCAATTTATCGGATTTACTACTGTATATATTATTGTAAATTATTATTAGTTATATTTTAGTTTAAATAAGTTGAACGTGATTGAAGATAGAAGGTGGGGGAGGGGGGGGGGGGTTGATAGAACCGCGATGGGTTGTGATAGAACGGTGATTGATGTGACTTATCTTAGGACGGTGGAAGTATGTTGGTGATAGTTGGGAAGGTGGCGAGACTCCACCACCAGCTCCCCCCACCACCATCACCTCTTCCACCACCACCACCAGCTCTTCCACCACCACCACCAGCTCTTCCCCCACCACCACCACCACCACCACCAGCTCTTCCCCCACCACCACCACCACCCACCACCACCAGCAACACCCAATACCACCAGCAACACCCAGCACCACCAGCTCCCCCCACCAGCTCCCCCCACCACCATCACCTCTTCCACCACCACCACCACCACCAGCTCTTCCTCCACCACCACCACCACCACCAGCAACACCCAGCACCACCAGCACCACCAGCACACCCACCACCACCAGCTCTTTCCCCACCACCAGCTCTTTCTCCACCACCACCACACCCCCACCACTACCAGCAACACCGGA